ATTTTTCCATCGTGTTTCAGTTAGTTGCAAAGCTCACATTCACAACATGTCATGATTAAAAATTAGCAAATAACGTGTTGTGGGGATAAGGCCATGGGGACAATATCTAACAGCATTCAGCCCCAATGTTTAACAACACAAACAGCAGGCTTACTGCTTGCCTGCAGGACCCTCTTGGTCTGTTGTTGTAATGCACTCCAGATGCTCTACTCTCTGTCATTCAGCTTCTCTGGTCCTCTCCCACACAATTATCCATTCAGGAAGAGCTTTAACAGCAACATTTAAAATACTTGGGATAATCCAGTTAGGGATCCACTGTGGCTGTTTTGTGTTTTACGAAACAATTTGACAATGCTATAGTTTGACCCCTGTTAAAGCTTCCTGTCTCTGTGGTCAGTCCTTTAGGGCTCTACATTCTCCCAAAGCTGCAGTAACATGAGTAAGCTATCTGTTCCTCATGCCTTAAGCAAAGGACCTTGTCCCCTTATGTTCCTTTGTTCACTCATTTTCTACACAATGAAAACCTGTTTTGAATGCAAGCTGACACTTATTTTAATGATATAACTTTCTCTATGGTTTTTTTCTGTGATAAATACAGAACATCTGCATAGTTTTGGTTTGTTGTTCTGCTTACATCATTTGCAAGGTCTTTAAGATTTTGAAGACAGTGGGCCTCATGCAAGAACCGCTCGTACGAACAAATATGTTAATAAATTCGTTCTACGAGGGATTTAGGACTAATATCTAATCATCTTTCAGGTTATGAACACATTTTACAATTCCTTCAGACTTGACGTTGGAGTCTCGCACCATCAGTCACCTTTTATCCAAACCTAGTTTTTCACTAAATGACTACATTTGTTATTACTAGACACAAGTGTCCATTTAATTAGGTTACATTATTATATATTATTAATCTCTGCAATTATGAATTACATATTCATTCACTGTTGGCAGAAATATCAGTCACTACACTGGCTGTCATGTTGGTGTCCAGGGGAGACTGGTTTAATTTGTTGTTAATCGGTCAAAAGAAAGAACTCTATGTGAGATCAAACTACTATTGAAATAATGTCTGAAACAGAAAATTTATCAAAATATCTTCATCAGAATGACGTTCAGCAATGTTTTGCTATTTGAAACTCCTCACTCACTGGGCTCCATTACGTACAGGTGGACTGCATCAGGTTTACGAGTATCATGTCAAGGTCCTCAGTGCTCCTTCTTGGGCCACTTTTAATTAACATCAATATGCTTTCTAGTGCTATAGTATCTCTTAACATGCTGATGACACTAGTTTATATATCTGTGTTAATGCATGAAAGGCAACAAATAAAGTCACCCTGTTAGTGTGTCCATAATATTAATGAGTAGATGTCTGTAGATTTAGTTCATATTAGAGAGCTCACATTTAGGAGGAAATGATCTGAATCCTTATGAAAGGTACTGAAGGTGATCTCCAACTCAAATCTAGTCTGTTTTTGTTTGTGATAATGTGCTGAACTCACTGGTCAAAGAGCGGATACAGAATGAGCTGTAACAAAAATGCACCATTCAGCCTGTTTGAAGTCTGAGTCTACAAATGAAAGACGTTGTTCCCCCTTTTGAATAAAGCACAGATTACTCAACACTTCCTTTCAGAGAGGATGCCTCACACTTAAAAAGAAAATCATCATGTTTTTGTAAGCTGACTTAATAAAACAGAATATTGGGCTTATATATACTTTATTATATGTTGCCTACAAAAATAGAAAGTCAGTCTAAGCTAGTTTTAACTGAGTTTAGTGGTTTCATTTGAATAAATGACTTTTAATGACATAATAATAGCTCTGATCGCTTATTGCTTGCAGCTGCCAGAGGTTCAACTACAGAGTGTTCAGTTCATGGCTCCGTGGAAAGGGTCACGGAGGAAATGTTATAACCACACAAAGCAGCTCTCACAAAGTCCAAGATCAGTGGTCTGCTATCAGTGACATGACAAGATTTAAAGCCTCCTGCTCTGGCTGCTGACGACATTTTGGTTTATCATTTATTCAGTTGTGGCTGGTCAGGGGATCACACGTCCGCTCAATTTCTTATTATTTTTTTTCCATCAGTTAAACACAAATATCAGAAGTCAAAGTTAGTTCCTTTGCTTTTTGGCTTTACTCTGTATGTGTAATCTAGCATTTAGGATAAGAAGATTGAAAGTGAACAAAAATACATCAACTTTAGACATTAGTAAGTGATAGTATCTGGATGTTTTTTTTTAGATGAAGGGAGTACTAAGTGGCCAGCAAAACTAATCAAATATCTTTACCATCAGTTAATGTACCAAATATAAGTTTAATCAGGCTGTTATTGGGGGAAGAATAGACCCATATATTAGTACATGTTTTAAGATAAATGATTAAGGAACAAAAATGAATGTTAACATCAATTAGTTAGATTTTCTAAAAACTTAATCATGGAAGGCTGTTCAATTTTTTGAAACACATTCAGGAATCTTGATCTAAATAGATTTAAGTCTAACAAAGTCACAGTTTCCTTTTAGGAAAACTTTCCTTTTAGGGCAGGGTGTTGTTGCTGTTGTTGTTTCTTGAATTATCTTCATATAAATCTCAGTATCTCAACAAAAGGACACAGATCCCTCATGTATTTTACTTGTCTGTAAGATAAAACATGTCCTTTTTTTACATATCTTCAAGGAAAACAAGGAATCTTGTTGAGGGGTTTGCACGCCAAAGAATTTACATCTTAAAAGATTGTGCAAGTTTGTCCTAACTTTGTTGTCACAACTGTGACAGCCTGACTTGGTTTGTATATATTTTGTCTTTATTTCACTCCTAAAATTATATTTGTTTCTTTCAAAAAAAAAAGAGAAAACATCTGAAGTGAAAGATATAATCCTTGTGAAACTTTTTGGCTCTTCAGAAAACAACAAGCTTGGCGATATGGACACACTTCAGTAGTAAAATACGTATTTACGCCTAGTCTGGTTCTGTACCACGGATGCAAGATGTGCTATCTTTTCTGTTTCCTTTCTTCTAGTGAATACATTACGTTAAGCTTGGATGGTCTAACATACATATATATATATATATATATATATATATATATATATATATATATATATGCAGCACTTTTTCTGTTCAATATTCAATTGTCTCAGTGGTTTTTTGTTCTCGGCTTTTGTTTACAGTGCTGACAAAGATTACTTCCGACTTATTTATTTGTGGTAGAAGAAACCGAACAAGGTGCATGGTATAACGGTGCAGCCTTTCATTTATCCTGTGGTGTTACTGCAAAGCCCCCAGTGGATCTATGTACGTGGAGCATAGCCTCTTGTGGTTTTACAGACAGATTTAACTACAGTATGGCTCGCTGTTGCTGTGGCGATGGACTCCTATTAACATGTTGTCTTCCCAAAGGAGAGGAAGTCTCTCTACTTGCTGTAGAACTCTAAGGCTCGGTTAAATCAGGACACAAACACTGCAGGGTGAGTGAGCTCCTTAAGAGAGACACCTCACAACTCTACCTGGAATAAATCAGGGAAGTGCCATAACTTCAATTGTTGCCAGCAGCATCTGGGTTCCAGTCTTGTTAGAACAGAACTGATTTGACTCTGCACTAAAGTGCATTACTGTGTGTATTTGCGCATGCCATTATTTTACTAAGCTATGAGCTGAATGTTAATGGAATTAAATACGTACTATTTTTTCAAAACAAATAGTTTTAGGTTTATACTACTGTACGTATTATTTTGGGTCCTCTTTTTACCAAATTAAATGCTCGGTTCCTGAAAGCATTAGCTTAAAGCTCAACTGTTTACAATTTTCCTACTTGCCTGTAAAATCTCATTAGAGGCAAACAATCCTAAAGGATCTTCAGTTAAAAAAAGCTGTGTTTATGTTAGAATGCAATCAAGGCAAGTTGTTCAAGCTGGGCCACCTCTGACGATGTGCAAAACTCAGAAACACATGAGCCAACAATTCAGCAGCAGGAATCATGTACGGAGATGATAATTTAACCTTTATCTCTTTGTTGAATCAAAGCCACTTAGACACTGATAGTGTGTAATTCTGAGAGATACATGAGTCTTTCTGTCCTACAGAAAAGCACACTCATAAGAGTACCTTTTTTTGTGTGAAATTTTGATTTAGTGTGAATGTGTTGGTAAACCACCCACATATATTTTAAATATGCTTTTCCTTAACCAAGAGAGGCCATAGTGATGGGAATGGCGGTCACAAAACATCTCAAAGTATATGTTTCTATTAAAAGACAGAATTGAATTTGAGACGCTTTTGAAATGTATCCAAAATGAGTAATTAGTGTTTAAATGAAAATGATTTTGACTCGTCTGTTAAAGCTGTGAGCTTTTTAAGCTCTTCTGTCATCGAATGTCGAAGATAAAATAAAAGAAGCACTTTAAACATGTCTGTTTTTGCAGATTTAAGTGACTTTTTTCTAAGAGTGCACAGAAGTCACTTACTGTATTGTTGTAAAGTAATGATTGATATCCATTCTTAAACTTTGAATAATTCCTTGCATTTCAGTCTTCCTTTCATAATCAACACACGTAAATTGTATCAAATGGAATCAAATTATAGAGGAAAGCAAGTCTTTACTTTAAAATTACTCATTTTCTTTTGTTTAAAAAAATATAATTGATTGGCTTTTAACACTGGTAAGACTTAATTGTTGTGACCTTGTATATTTCGTATAAACATTTTTTTATATATATATAATTGTCCTATTTTACATCTTTATGCTGATTATTTTTCTTTCATTGTGTTTTATTATTTTGAACAATGTTCAACAATTTGTGTTCAGCCGTTTTAAAGCACTCATTAAATAACATTGATGATGATGTTGCTGATTAACAAAAGCAATTTTTTTACGTAACAACTATTGACTTTCCTGTGAAGATGGTGATTCAACTATTGTATCTATTGTATAATAGCTGAATTAAATACAGTAGCTGCAACTTACTATTACTACCCTTTTTTTTTGTCTAGATGCAAAGGAAAGGACAACAAAAAGCTTCTCAGCCAACGGGGTGTACAACTTCACCTCCTTCCTGCTCAGTAGTGAAGACAACATGCTCTATGTTGGGGCCCGGGAGATTCTCTTTGCTCTCAACCTCTCTGATATCAGTGCAACAAAGCTTAAAAGAAGCGTAAGAGACTGCATGCCACTATGTGTAAACTGTAATATCAATAGGTATATAGTTCTTGAATCTGTAATATGAAGCAGAGATTTGTTAATAAGGGTTAATCAATCACAAATGTGTAAACCAAATATGATATCCCTCAGTGTGTTAACACCACAGCATGAGCATGGAAGTATTCTTATCTTTCCTGCAGCTCACATGGAAAACTCCGGAGAGGAAGAGAGAGGAGTGCAGTTTCAAAGGCAAAGATCTTCAGGCAAGTCAACTGCTGGTTTGAAGTGCACGTAGCTGAACTCTCATGGCTCAAAAATTATTTACCGAAGTGCATGGCTGCTCTGACTATTGTTGAACGACATTTGGGAGTTGAGACCAGTATAGGACAGAACACAGACATTTCCTGTCATCCTGGAACTTTCCATCTCACAACAATGTTTTTTTTTTTTTTTTTTGCCTTTCCATTTGGAGCACACTGTTTCATTTCATCAAATTTTTCTTAAACATCTCTAGTTTACGTTCTGAACCTTTGACACTGGAACACTTGTGCAAGGTGGTTTATTTTACATGTTTTTGTTGTTTAGACAAGAAATAAAATATAGCCCCTTTATTCTGTGTTTTGCTTCGAAGTATCTGAAGAATGTATAATTACTTCTTGTGTTTTTCCTACACAGAAAGACTGCTTCAACTACATAAAGATTTTGCTGCAGAAGAACAGCACTCACCTGTACGTTTGTGGGACGTACGCCTTCAGCCCTATCTGTGCCTACATTGTAAGTTGTGGACGTCCAGACATCACATTTTTTCTGTAAACGTGCTTCTGCATTATTTTCTTTGGAATGTTGACATAAAAGACAACAGCAAAGTCCTCATAAAAGGTGATTACCCAGATGCAGGACCCTGTATAGAATTTCTTTCACTGATTTTAGAGGAGTAGAGAAGAGTATTTCAAATCTGATGCATCACACTTCCTTCCTTTCTACTCTCTCAGCAGTCTTTCAGCCTTGCAGACCAGTCAAATACAATATACGTACATTATTTTATTAGCTTGTATGCAGTGGAGATAAAATATTTAATGCACTCAATCAGATTACATAAGAATCGATCTGGTTTTATTCATTTTCTTCAGATCTTTTAGTGCCTTTCAGAACAAGCCAGAAAAAAACAAACACAACTGACCCGTATTTCAACTTTGACCAAAGCTGACCACCTTTTAAAGCAGAACCTGACAGTGAGGTTTCTGTCAGTTTACTTACAGCTCTCCCTCTGAAATCCCTTTATGACATGTGGTGTGTGTTTGTCCCTCAGAGGACAGCAGACTTCTCTTTTGTCAGAAGTGACGCTGGTGAGATTGTTACAGAAGATGGACGCAGCCGCTGCCCGTTCAACCCGGAGTACAAGTCCACTGCCATCATGGCTGGTAGGTCTATACAAATTGAATACTGCACATTTGATTCATTATCCAGCAGTAATCAAATGATAAGTTGTCCTTTAAATTATGACTGGTTGCTTGGTAAAACAAAACAAGTGTGCTGAAAATTGAGTTAAAAAAGTTATAGTATTTCTCGTACTCGTCAGCTCCCGCTTTGTTCAGACAAAAAAATTTACAAATAATTTAATTGTAGCAATATTTCACTTTAAGTCTTACACAACTTGCCTCAGAATATATTGTAAAGATTTGATATAATTCTATTTTATTTAGAGTTAATGATCTTTTATTACGACTGAAATGAGCTGTAATAAAAAAACAAAAAGCCAGAAGGAATTTGATACCTATTTTTCAAGCTTTTGATAATAATAATTTTAATAAGAAGGGAAAAGGGAGATTTTGCAGCTTTAACTTTAACCTATAATCCAAATTGGCTGTCATTCATTTGAAGTCTAATGACAGGTGCAGAGATATTCATGTTATTTTCCACATCTGGCAGTTTGCATTTCATTAAATACTTACACACATGAGGAACCATCTATTCATTCTCTATAGCCGTTTATCCTGGTGGGGTTATGGGGGGTATCTTTGACGTTAATTGGAAGAGAGACAGCCTACAGATTGGACAGGTTGCAAATTTATCACAGGGCGAGACAGTGACACACAACACACAACATTACTTGCATAAACTCATACCTAAGGGGAATTTAGCCAAACAACTGTGCTGCCCAGCAGCCTGTGTTTTTCATTTTTCTATCATGTTTTATGCATGTACAATTTAGATTATTAAAGGCCTACTTTGAGTGCTTAAATGCATATATAAAACATGACTGTTACCTTTGATTGATGAGCTACCATTTAGTGCATCAATTACTAAATTGTACTTATCTTAAAAATTGCTAAATTTGGGTGTGACGAAATCTAGAGATCTCAGTCATGGTTTTTGAGAATCAAATAAGACTTTAGAGTACCTAGCTTCAATTGATACAATATTCATATGTCAATTAGTTTTACTTATTAATGGCAATGGTTTATTGAATTTGTCTCAAAAAAATAACTCTGTGAAGCTGAAGAACCATCCTAGCTTTCATATGATGTTCATTCTTGTATGTGTCTGGTTCTCAAAGTAAACCTTTACTTTTTAGTCTAATCTGAAAAATGCTACACAGAAAGTTCTTTAGGTTAACATTTAAACCACTTAATAGAACTTTAAACAACACAATGACATTTTTTTAATCATTTTTGTATGGTAATGAAATAACATTGTAGTTTATAGTATTAACTCCTAGTATAGTGAATAGTATATCCTCATATTTTCCCAACCAAAATGTGAATTCCATGCATTAAAAAAATCCTTTGCTAAAATTTGCTAAATTATTGTATATACCGACCCCTATTTAAAAACACAACCCTTTCGAAAGGTATTTCTTGTGTGACTTGTCTGATTTAAAAGAATAAATAAATGTAACAAATTGTCAACTTTCTTTTCCTGTAAATTCTGAAAGACATTAAATGTCTTAGAATTTGTGTCAAGCAGGTTTAAACTTGGATCTTCAACCTATTGGATTAAAAACAATACAGGATTTGTTATAGATGTTTTTTCTAAGGAAAAACAATAATAGTAACAGATTCTCTGAAATTCAGCATAGAAAGGGTTAATAGGCTTTGTGAAAAATAGAAGCATAACAAACTTAGACATAAAACTTGCGTTCAGATCTTGTTGGCCTACTATGTGACGCAGAAGCCTTTCTAATTCTTTTTTGAGGAAACATTGTGATCATTCTTGTCTTTTTGCCTGCGTTGCAGATGGGGAACTGTATGCCGGCACAGTTAGTAATTTCCAAGGAAATGAACCCATCATCTACAAGAGCCTGAGCCAAGGCACTGCTCTGAAAACGGAAAACTCTCTCAACTGGCTTCAAGGTACAGTGGTGTGGATGCAAAGCAATGGTTTTTATTATCACTACCTGCAAGAAGGTTTCTATTGCAGGATGGATAAATACTCAGCCTTAAAAGCAGAGAAATGCTGCATAGCAGCCTAGAAAGTGAAACCATCTCTAGTCCCTGCTGGTTGTGGGTTTCACTCAGCAGTGTTCCCAGATCCCAGTGTGATGGTACTGTTACTTTCCTTTCAGACCCAGCCTTTGTTGGCTCGGCTTACATTCAGGAGAGCCTACCCAAGGGCAACCTTGTGGGCGATGACGATAAGATTTACTTCTTCTTCAGTGAAGCAGGAAAGGAGTTTGATTTCTTTGACAACACTGTCGTTTCACGCATCGCCCGTGTGTGTAAGGTGAGTGATGCTTCTGGATATTTCCTTTTTTTTTTTTTTTAGTGGCAATAACAATAATTGTCACGATGCCCAAAACGAGCCCAACAGATTTTGCTCTCACAAGTGGAGCAGTACGGCTTTCGCCCTAGTGTTCCGCTTGATTTATGCATATAAATACCTTTAGTGTAATTCATGCAGGGAGTATTACAGATGATATGGACACTGCAATGTAGGTCGAACATTAAAGGAAAAACAGGAAAAAGGAGAAAGGATTAAAGAAAGAGGAGATAAAAGGGAGACAATGATAAAACGTCTTCAGTCTGCGTCACCAACTGCAAAGAGATGTGAAAAACAAGAATAGCACAACCAACGGATATAGTGTAAGAGATACACTAAAGTAGCACCTTGATATTATCGCTGAGGTATAAGTGGTATTATTTAATCTGACATATATACTGTGGTAGCTGAAGATAAGAATATGAGCTTTCTGTATGGAAGTGAATCTCTAAGTACCTGAAGCCAAGCACATGTAGTTGTTTGTGAGAGTGTACTTGTGCATGAAAAGTTTATCCAAAGGAAAAATGCTCAATAGTGGTTGTGAAGAGCCAAGGAACTCTCCCCCCCAAAGCGCCGAAGCAAGCACTGGAGCACCCAAAACGCAGATGTCCAAGGAGACCCTCAGAGCAAAGGCGTCCAAGAGGGGCTAACCTAGGAAATCCGTCCCCCCACCAAGGAAAAGAGGAGAGACGACTCATAGGAAATCCCCCAGCAGCTGTGATGCCAAAGCACCAAGGAGCAACGGTGATGAGCCTGCGGGCTCCGCCAACAGCAAGCCACCCCAAAGTGGAACTGGCCATGAGCCCCGGCGACCCGAGGCCCCAGGGGCACCCTGCCCCCTGGTGGGAGCCCCGACGTACCAGGCCCCGCGAAGCAGCTGCTAGGAATATGCTTCTGGATATTTCCAAATGAGGATGATTTTATATCCTTAAGCAACATCTAGACCTGCAGCCATTTAAGGATTATGTATAACCAGTTGGAGACAAGGCCAAGGTCTCTTTTAAAGGTACACTATGCAACCGGTGTTGATTTTCCAGTGAGGCTCCCTCCAGAGGGCGAAAGTAAAAGTGCCCTGTCGTAAATATGCACAGCTGTTCTCCTGGTTTCTCCGTCAAGCCAGGCGCGGTTGTTTTGAGCTTAGCAGCGAATGACTAACGCTGCGTTCACACTGGACGTAGCTGGCGCGACAGAAGCAGTGAGTTTACATGCAAAGTCAATGGTTGAAGCGCGTCAAGGCGCAGCAAAAGGTCCCGCGGCGCGTTTTGAGCACCAGGCGCAGCACGTCTGAGCAGCTGAAGCAGCGCGTCGGGTGCGTTTAACGCAGGGAGAGAGACACAGCGCTGATGATCACTCCTCTTAAACAGTTTATTGACGCCTAAATTAACTTAAAATGCAGAAATCTGCCGGCAGAATATGCAGTTTGGATTATTTAGATGAAAAACACCTACCAGCTGCCGCGGTGAACCGCTGCTGATGAAGGGATCCATACTGTCGGCGCTCCGCTGGTATGTGGGGGTCTGAGCGGCTCCGACAGAAAAAATATTGAAGGCAGGATAATAATCTGAATGAACTGACTGCACTGATTACGTTTTCAGGTGTATTTTCTCACTTAAACACATATTAAAACTACTTTATTCCCACTGATCACAGCAAATATAGCTGCAAGGCAGAGAAAGGATAGTGAAGCTCCGCCCAACGCGCCTCAGACACACTTTTGCAGCCAGAGCAGCAAAGCTGCTTCAGCCGTGCGTCAGAACTAACTGGTACAAGCAGCAAAGAGGAAGCAGCAGACGCGATTTTGCTGCTTTTGCTGCGTGAACGTAGCATAACTGCACAAAGATTGCCACTGTGCTAGCAACGAGAATGCTTTTAACTGGGGGCGTGTAGCAGTTCTCGCCGTAAAGCAAGACTGACTCTCACGAGACTTCTGAGCCTGTGGGTGCGGGTCGGTGCTCCTGCAGTTGCAAGTGCAGTATTTCCCCCACAGACCACCAGGGCGGCCGAGAATACCTTTGTTCAACCTGAAATGACTCATTTAGTCATCCATAACGTTATGGAACACATTAATTAACTGAAAAATGTTGCATAGTGTCCCTTTAAGTATTTGTGCTCAATATTCCCTTTCTGGATGCAGTTATTATCCTCATAAAGCTGCTTTTAGCATACATACATCTTGTATATCTCCCAGCCCTTCTGGGTGGTAATGTATGAAAACATTTCTCTCCCATCTGCCTCCTTTGTTTGAAATTTTTGTTTCCAAATCCGTTCTCTAAATTCCTAAGCAGCTAATGTTTGTCTTCAGATCAGACTCAATAAACATACACAGCCCCTTCAGAGACAGCATTTAGTTTAATCTCTTATGCAATGTTGACCTTAAATATATTTGATAAAGACCCCGCCCACCTACATGCTTATAAAATACTATTATTTCTATAGCAGATCAGTACTATGGAAGTTCACAGATTTTCTTCTATTATTTCGATTAGCCCTTCATTATGATTTTTTTTTACCCTGAGTTGTTGCTTAAGGTATCTGTCTATTGATGTTTTTTCTTTGTTCATTATCATAATTTGCAACTCAAAATTTAAGAGACAAATTTAGTAATCAATGATAAGGTGATTGATGTGGTTTATACCTGCAGTCAGTCGAATTATTCTCTTTATTAGACTTGGAAAACAAAGCAATTGCAGCCAGGAGACGGTGTTTTATCTACCATGACCAATTGTTTGGATTCCTTGTTTCTCACTTCGTTTAAAGAAAATAGAGGGGAAAAAAATTATATTACTGATTACCTCAAAATCAAGATGAAGTTTCAGAAATTGATCATCTGATGGGCTGATGAGGATTTCGTCTTTTCTGGAAGAGACTCAGAGAAGAACCAGTGAGTTCAGTTAAGTCAGAAGCAAGCCTGCTAAGCTCAACGACTGGATAAATGTTTCTTTGGTGCATTTAGTTTTGTAAGAATTTTTTCCTCCAAATACATTTGTTTTTCTCCACTTCCTCCCTCACCTGCTCAGTGACTTTCTTCTACAGCTTTTTTTGTTTTCCTCTATTTTGCCTCCTGAGATTCAAGAGGCGAAATAGAGTCCAAAAGGCAAAAGCAGCCCCTGTTGCCTTTTTAAGAGGAAGCTTCTTGCAAACATAACCGTGGCTTGAGTCAGTTACTTCCAAGAGAGGGAGGAGGGAGGTAGACTTTGTTTTTTACTTCTCTTTGTCCAAACCTTTCAGATACTGCCGTATTTGAAGTCCCTTTTACTCTTGAGAGAGATCTAAAAATGTGGATGAAAATTAAGTCTATAACTCGCCCAGATTATTTTCTAATTGTTAATGTCTCTTACATTTGTCCCAGCAGTTGTTTCATTTTACTTGAGTAAATAATTAGGAAATTGCTCAGATAATTATAAATCCAACTCTTGATTTCATGTTATCACTGTTACTGATAATTACATCTTAATTGGGAGGAATGTGCAGTGAAAACACACAGGTAAAAAGTATGGATTTTTGATAGATTATGAAACTTATTGAGACAATAGACTTTACAAAGTTTTAGACTATTAAAAGCAGGTTATTTTAGGTTTAAGGGCTAAAGATATAGGTTTACAGACTAAAGTGATGTGAGATGGTATTTTGGGCATGAATCTTCTAAATGCAAAGTGTTTAGCTATCATCTTTTAACAATTTACTTTAGTTTTCCAAACATCTGACTTAAAGGCTCCACTTACGAGAATCATATAAGCACTGACTCATGTAGGTTTCTCAGAAATGTGAAAATTAGGTGTTTACCACAAAGTTCTCTGGTACAGATTACCCACAAGAGAATTCCCACAAAGTTAAAAAAATGCTGTGAAATTTAAGACATAAGCAAAACTAGAGCTGGTAAAATTGGCTACAAATGGCTTAAATCAAGCACTTAAATCTACTCTTTGCTTCTGTTATCTCCCTAAATCCAGTTTAAATCTCTGCAGAAGCTGCTGTCTCTGTCATTATGTATGTTCAGGTGCTTGCTGCTTTAGCTCTGTATCATCAGGCCAACCCCAGCAGGATAAACAATGTTTTGCCTGGAACAAACAAAGCAAAGTGTGTTCCTGTTTGTGCGATTTGCTCAGTTTCCCAGAAATCTGCCACTGCTGCCCACCATGTCCATGACAGCCTTTCCAACAAAGGATGCTTTTACGAGAGGATTAATGAATGGAATGCATTTTGCTTCAATTATTTAGCAGTCAGTTTAAGCGTGCAGTTTCTTTAAATTATTAAATATGGTGATATGTATGTTCCCTATTATACGCCTGAGTTATTGCATTGCTTCAGCAGTCTGTATTGGTCATGTGTCATTTTCTCCAGCAGGGCTCCATTATTCTCTAACTAGCATTGGTAAAAGAACACATGACTAAGTGTTTGGTCATTATGCTTTTTATTAGCTGTTTTTTTTATCCTCTGATCATCAGCCTGACATCATGTAAAGATGTGGATCTGTGATTCTGTGGGACATGAGTCTTACATCCATCAAATGCATCAACTTCCACTAATGTCTCTCAGCATGTGTAGCTTGATTAGTTTGCATGTCAACAAGGTCCCGTGTCACTCATGGCACTTCAAAGGATTATGCCAAGGGCATTGAATCAGAGTAGCCGTGTCAGGGAAAACAGGTAGTTTAGGGCCACTGTTTCTTTTTCTTTCAGTTAAAAGGACTTATTCTCTTTAGAAGCCTGAGTTTGTTTTATCTGCTCTTGTTATGTTAATGTAGTTTATTGTTTTCATGACCTAGAAGCGTTCTGCCTTGCGGTATAATCCCATCAGAGGCACAGCGTATTGAACTCATTGTTTTTTCAGATAAATAAAATTTTATCTCTTTTATCAGAAATAATATTTTAACTTCTGAATATGAATATTTTGTCCATCCTCTGCTGACCTTGAATTAAAAAGATGTTTCACTTCCAACGCTTGTCATGCAGGGTGACATCGGAGGGGAGAGGGTATTACAGAAGAAATGGACCACTTTCTTAAAGGCCCAGCTTCTGTGCTCATTGCCTGATGATGGGTTCCCCTTCAACATAATCCAAGACATGTTTGTGCTCACGCCGGGCCCCGAGGACTGGAAGAACACTGTGTTTTATGGAGTCTTCACATCTCAATGGTGAGGAGAAATCTCTAAACACCACATCAGAATCACAAGTTCAGTGCATAAAAAAAGGAATTAAAAATAGTCTGCAATTTTTATTTAAAAAGATATTTAAATCTGTCACTTTTAATACTGACATGACTCAGATTTTTGTAGAGGAAAACTTATTTGTTTATTCTTATCTTAGATACATTTTTCTTTAATGTATCTAGAAAAATAGGACAATTTTTAAGAAAATAAACCAGGACAAGAAGAAAAATAAATACAAATGAAATATGAATGAATGAATGAATGAATGAATGAATGAATGAATGAATGAATGAATGAATAGGAATGTATTTCAGACAATTTTGACAAACAACAAAAGTAAAATAAATAAAGTTATGCTTTCTAATAAGATAATACATAAAGAATGAGCTAAAACTTGTCTTCTTACTTTCCCTCATTGGAAAAGTAAGAACACATTAGAAGAAGAGCAAATACGTAGGTAAAGGACTCAAAACCTTCACACAAGACTAAATAATGTAAAAAGAAGAACATTTTAAGAGTCCAACTGTACAGCAGAAGAGAGAAGAAAGGCATCTTTATGTTTGCACTGCACTTATAAAAAGCAGCTAAAAAGCTAAAGTTAAATGTGTGTCTGAGAAATAAAATTTTCAAATAATGTTATAAATAAAAGCTGATTTGGTGACTAGGAATACCAGATAACAATAAGTTTTCAAATAACTTTGAAAATTATTTAACTTTTAGCCTTTTGCAGGTTTTATGGGAGTGCAGAGACTTTCTTAAAACAATTTTTAATAGTTATGACCATAAGGATGATTATAACAACCTGCTTCCAGCCCAGCTGAAGATTCTTTAAAGGCTGTGCAATAAAGATATTGCTGATAAGCAATACCTGCTAAGGGTTTTTCAAACACGTAAAGGGGCCTTAAATTCAACATATAATGTACAGCATTTGAAAACATATAATTTAAACCACCTATAATTTCTTAATATTTAAATCCCCAGAGTGACACCTTTTTTATATTTTTAAGTGGTCCATATAAAGTCATCCTGATCTTTAATCCTTTAGACTTATGAAAGATCTTCTAACAATTCAACATATTGTACTGTGTGTGCTTTAAATAGATCATAAATCAGAACATTGGAGGGCAGAACACCAAGAACCCTGACAAAACCCTTCACTGCCGAAAACAGAATCATGTGTTTAAGAACGATAACAAAAGAACCGGGAAAAAATGTGATACAGGGACTTTTGCATAAAGTAAAGCAACAGTTATTTCCCTTTTACCAATCAGTTTGTGCTGAAATGCTAAATGTTTCTGTGTATTTTTATGTGTTTGCATCTGGATGTGTTGTGTTTGATATTTATAAATTTAAAAATGATTTAAAGAGGATGTTGCTATCAACTAAGTGTTGCTAGAGCTTCTTCCTTCTCAAGTTGTCTGACACAAAGAGCTGTTTCTGTTTAAATGACTGGATGCTTAATAAGTTAGACTCTCTAAAAACCGTAGATCAAGACTCATTAAGAAATTATTCTGCATTTTTGGAGGCTGAATTTAAAAGAATGCGACTGTTGAAGGATGTGAAACCTCTATGTACTATGTACTTTCCCTGATTCCAACCTGTTCTTAAATATTTAAACCAGGCACACTTTCTAATAAACTTTTTTTGTGATCAAAGGTACAAAGGTGCTTCAGGAAGCTCTGCAGTCTGTTCCTTCACCATGGACCAAGTGGAAAAGGCTTTTAATGGGCGATACCGTGAGGTCAACAGAGAGACCCAGCAGTGGTACACTTATAATCATCCTGTCCCGGACCCTCGGCCAGGAGCTGTGAGTGGATAGTTGCTGCCCTCTGCAGGAATACTTGAACATACATTAGATAAACATAGTCCTGTCAACCATAATAACTACACACTCCATATCAGTTATGCTCAAAAGGATTAATTATAAACTTCCATATAATATCAGACAAAAAACAAATTTTTGCTTTGTGATCCAGCTTTAAAAAATCTGTAAATAAGGTCACCTCTTTGTTGCCTTTTTAGTGCATAACAAATGCAGCCAGAGAGCTGGGCATAACCTCCACGCTGCACATGCCGGACAAAGTGTTGAATTTTGTCAAAGACCACTTCCTGATGGACAGCGTCATCCGCAGCCAACCCCTACTTCTGAAACGTAACATACGCTACACACAGATTGTTGTCCATCGGGTCCAGACAACTAAAAAGGAGTATGATGTGCTTTTTATTGGCACAGGTAAGACATTTTCCACCTGCTATTAGAAAAAAAAACTGTAGAAAACAAACCAGCTTGTTTTTACCACAGAAACTACTTTTAAAGGACTTGTACCATAGTTTGAACTAAATGTTCTTTTTAGGATTATTTGAGCTTATGATTGTTCTGTACATTCCCACGTCAGCAGTCAAAGTATTTTTCATAATAGTGTAAAAGAATGAAACAATACCAGAGCGTGCTAGAACATGTCAGAAACACCAATCTTGGGCACCAAATAGCTATTACAGACTGGTTAGCCAAGAAGAAAGTGGTTATAACAAAGTGCCCAGCTGAAAGCACTCTGTGGTAGTTGTGGTATCTGTAAGCAACCAAAGCGCACCACACCAATTATGAATGTAGTAATTTAAAACTGTGAAACTCCAGCTGCATTTCAGTAGATTCAATTATGCTCCAGTTCTGAACAGCTCTGATCTGCACAGACTCTGGTATTCACATTTCTCCCAACATCTTGGCTACCAAAATGCTTTATATTAGGAGGCTGTGCTGCTTCCTCTCAGTAAAACACTGAGAGGAAGCAGCTAAAATTCTTACTGTTCTGCATAGAATGATTACATGTTTTAGTGTATTACAGTAATATAGGTGCCAAAAGTTTTTTTTTTTTCATTGAGACCATCAGTCTACCAAGAGTTTATCACAACTGAATGTTGCTTTGCCCTAAAAGCCACACCACAGGTGATTCCAAAGGTTTGGCTGAGGAAGGATAGATTGTTGTACAGAAATGTAACAAATGTCTTCTACACCTAATTATTATCAGTAGGGTAGAAAGTGTTTGCAGACAGTAGTTATTAATTGGATTTTATTTAAATTATTGTCTGCTGATGCAAATGTTTGGTATCTCCAAGACATAAGGACTCCTTAGAAACTAAATGCCGCAGCCAGTTTGATGGTCTGAATCTCTTCCTCCAGTATAACAGCTTTGCATGAAATTTGTTGTCTTCTCACTTTGGGTTGTTGATGATTGACATTAACCTACATTTTCTTTATATTCCAGGGGCCTGAGAGTTTTGGCCAAAGATTGTTTTTGGGATAGTCTTCTTCTTTTTTTTTTTATGTTCCCAATAAGCAGCCAAATGTTAAGGGTATCCATTAACATTTTTTTCCATTAGAAATGTTTCCTTTTAAAGATGGGAACCCCTTTTTACTGATTTCTTATATATTCAGTCATAAATGGTAGAGGTTTTGTTTAATTTCATTTAAAAAAAGCATAGTGTTAAGAGCGCTCATACAAGAAAAATGTAAAAGAATGTGATTCATTATTTACACTGGGTTGTTGTGTTTGCTCTGAATTATTGTAAAACTTCCCTGTAAAGAATTTTAACCAATTTCAAATTAAACAATGTGTTTTCTAGATAATGGGAGACTCCATAAAGCCATCAACATCAAAAACAAGATGCATATTATTGAGGAGATGGTGATCTTCCGTGACGCTCAACCAGTTCAGCACATTGAGTTGGACACTAACAAGGTAAAGAGAGGGGTTCAGAGCCAAATGCGTCAAACCGATTATTAACCTACCAAACTACCGAGCTTTTTGGAATAAAGCCTTAACAGTTATATAAAGTGTTTCCTGTAAAAAAAAAAAAAAAAAAAACTCCAATCCAAAGGAAATGGTTTTTTAAATTGTGTTTAATTTTCCTTCTCAGTCAGATCTGCTTAAAGGTTTTAAGCCTCGACTCTGTTACACTTGCAAACTGTATGGATGCATTTTCTTTGATTTTCAGGTTAGGGCAAAATAACTAATTGAAAATGTTGCATCCCTACAGATATATGTCATGGGTGACAGCATAATAAAACTCAAGGAAATTGTGATAATCGATGCACTTACATTTGTTGCAACTACATTGTGGTCTCCCTCCAGGGTCGGCTCTACGTTTCGTCTCTCTCTGAAGTTGTTGAGGTCCCAGTAGCTAACTGCTCTAATTATCAGAGCTGTGGGGAGTGCATCCTCTCCAGGGATCCATACTGTGCCTGGAACAAGTGGCAGTGTGTAGATGTCAGAAGTATTCCTGCCAGCAAGTATGAGCCCTTCTGCACAAAATTATGGCTAAAACTCTTTATTAGAGGAATCAACCGCAAGCCCTAATGTTTCTATCTGTTTCAGGACCCAGCACCAAGATGTAGATGATGCAAATACATCAGCTATTTGCGGAAAGCCGAGCCCACGGGCTGCTAATCCTCCACCAACAAGTATGTGAACTCCTTCCCGTCAACTTATTGTGTCTAGTCAATTATTATCCAGACAGCACAGCTTATATCTGTCTCTGCTTTGCCTTCACTCAGGAGCTTCTTCATGCCAGGCAATAATTATCCCAGCCAACACTTTCAAAGTACTGCCATGCAAGCTGCGCTCCAATTTAGCTGAGAGAAAGTGGCAGTTCAGTCAAGGCACAGGTCACTTTCACTACCCCAGCCCAGAGGGGGGTCTAGTAGTGGTCGCTCAGGCCGGCAGACAGGAAACCTACGAGTGCTGGTCAGTGGAGGAAGGCTTTATGGAGCTGCTTGCAAACTACTGTGTAAGAGGCGAAGCCAGACAGGAGAGCACTACGCTGACGGGCCGTTCTCGTATACCACAGCTTTCCCAGGAGGAAGTTATATTTCTGCCAGGGGAAACCCGCTCTCCACAGATCAACACCAAAACCTACTGGAATGAGCTGATTGTTGTGTGCGCCCTCTTGGGGTTTTCCATCCTGGTCTTTTCCCTGTTTGTGGTCTACAGGAATCGTGACCACATGAAATCCATGCTTAAGGAGGGAGAGTGCCCAAATATGCAGCAAAAAAAGCCAAGAATAGTGAACAAACCAGCTGAGAACTTACCTCTAAACGGCACCACCGTCCCAACGTCTGTGTCAGATCACAAAGGATATCAAACCCTTAATGACAACTACCTGTGCAGCACCCCTCCACATGAGTGCTCCTCGCCCGAAAACACCAAGAGCTTCTCGGAGTCAGAGAAAAGGCCTCTGAACTTAAAAGAGAGTCATGTAGAGATTTCTCCCACATGCCCGCGGCCACGAGTCAGACTAGGCTCTGAGATTAAAGACTCTATAGTGTGAGGCTGGCTGAAAAGAGCTGGAATGAGTGCGCTTGTTGGAAAAGACCAAACTTTTTAGGAGAAAGAATGCAGCACTCTAACAGTGAAACATTCATTACAGATATTTTGCACTTTGTCTACTTTTGTTCTGTCCCTGTGGTTCAATGTGCATTTCATTTGATTGCTCTCTTTCACACAGTGCATTCAGAGCAACCCCTATATTGCCTTCTGATGCGCTCACACATGGCTCACAGGAATGTAACAAGCACAGAGGTGGCATCAAAACCACTAGTTAGGGATCAAGTTTCAGGGCATTTCAAACTTTTCCGTCCATGTAAAACACTGGTACTGCTTGGAACTGCGGAATATTACCCAAAGTGTATGCCACTAAAAGTGACAGCATTGGAGGTTTTATTGTTATTCTGCAATTTGGCGGGTATCCATGCTTCATTGAGGCTACCGTGAATTTGCTCATTCCCAAACATAAGAAAATCGACAAGTCAGAATCATGAAGGAAAAAAAACAATTCAAAAATTTAAATATGAAGATAAGAAAACAAATCATCTTTATAATGATTTGGGCCGTCTCAAAAGTGTTCAAACCCTTTGAACAACAAACTTTTATGTGTTTTATTAGGTTTGGTATGTGACACATCGACACACAGTAGTGTATCATTATAATATCCATGGTTCATTGAAAAAAAGGACACATTTGAAAGTTTTGTTATCTCCCATTTTGTGCATTAACTCTTTTTCGCAAAAGCCAAAAAACACCGGAAGCGAGCGTAAAAACGTAATGTGAATTTGAAAATTTTCCAAATTTCCCCCCAGGTCTCTTTTTTTTTCTTGCCCCTTGTTAATGCTGTGCTACTTTGTGTTGGTTTGTCACAGAAAATAAAAATAAAAAAATACAATGAAGTTTGTTGCTGTAGAGCGACACGATGCAAAGTAGTTTAGAGGTTATGGATACTTAGCCAGATAAGTTCAAATGTTAATAGAGCAGGGGTGCTCAAGTTCATTCCTCAAGAGCTGCTATCCTGCAACTTTTTGATCACTCCATTTTTAAAGCATCTGAATCAAATGAATTGCTCGTTACAATGCCTTTGCAGAGTTAAATGAGGTGATTGAACATTTGGTTTCAGGTGTTTTAGAGAAGAGATGCATCTAAAAGTTACAGGGTGGTATCTCTAGAGGACTGGACTTCAGCACCCCTGTTACAGAGGCTACATGACAACAACAAAGAAAGCATATACTTTAATATAAATATGCTTTTAGGCATGTAGATTTTCAATTTTTGAGGTCTTATGTTAAATTAATTTTCTTTATCTACATGCAAAAAAAAAAGAGAAATCTCATCGTAGTCATCATGGTATTACTCACAAGATCGGCGGTCTATGCAAAGCAAAAAAATGTGAAGTGAGGTTTAAATGCAAAGGTTGACCTCACCTTGAAACTGGGTAAGCACAAGTTATCTTTTTTTTTATTTACGAATCTGCGCCACTAAAAAAAAATAAAAATCAACAACAAACAACTCATTATACAATGTGCAAATATGCAGAGCATTCTAGCCATTTTCAAAACATTTCAAAGCAGAGGGCAATGAAAACCTTGACAGGTCGGCATGACGAAACAGGATAAATTACAGAAGGTCAAGGACTGTGATGTTAATCTGTGGCATCTGATTTATTGCACCATACTGAAACTGTATAGATATTTATCATAATAATGTGGCCAAATGTTTTGGTTGCACAGATAGATTTTTTTTGAACCCCTCTTCAGTGTTTCAAATATCTATCACAGTTTTCACAAAGAAGTAGGGATGAATATAGACGTATTCTGACTTAATCAACACACATCTGTATAGCCTCACCATACAGTTGTCAGCTCATGAGTCTTATCTATGAAAATAACTACAAAAACATTTGCTTGCTTAACAGGCTTTGAGTGACCATCAGCGCAATAAACCCCATTCCCATCCAGAGATATACACTAGATGCAGTGCACTGAATAATGTTATTTATGCAGAAAATAACGAACAATAAACTACAACAATTGCTAAATTCATGGATATTTTATCATCATAAGTAAGTTCTGCTTTAGTTTGGCTCTGGCATTGTGAAAAAATAAAGACTTAGAAAAATCATAAAACTAGGCATATTACTGAGGGATTTGCACTTGTTTAAACGCCTTATTGTGTTGGAGGTTGTGGCTCTGAGTAACAAATTTGCCTTGGCAAATAAATAAAAAATGCCTTCTGAAACAATAATCAGGTGATGTGCCTCTCGGGAGGATGAACTAACCAGGTATTAGAGCTTTAGAGTTATATGAGACACAGCAAGGTGTCAAAGAAATGGCCATACATAGCAACAATGGAAAACAGTCAAAAGACGTGTACTGTCATGCAATAGCGGTCCCATTGTGTCTGTCATTGCTTAGGGATTGAATTTTATTCTTAAATCACAATTCATAACAAAATCCTAAAATATATATATATATATAAAAGTATTATTATCATATTAAATTTCCTATTCAGGTGATTTATTTTTCTGAGACTGCCGAGCTGCGATCACTCATGCAGTGTAAAAAAAAAGCAAACTGACTGTTAATGACGTAAACAAATTGGCAGCTTTTGGTGAAGTGACTGCTATGAACAATAATTGATGTGCTACAGTCAAATGCATTGTGGTGGTATTTTGCTCAAAAAAGATTTGCAGGTCTGTTGAATACAAGCTGAAACTAATAATGGCACTGTAAAAGTATTGTCTGCTCTCTCCTTTTGAACCACTATAGTAAGACCCTCTGTTAGACAGCACACGTTGCTTGGACTCCCTTCCACACACATTTACAGCTAGTGAACAGGTTTTTGTAAAGTTATTTTGTAACTTCAGCTGCCAATGTACAGGTATTGTGAATTGTATTTTTGTATCATACATCACTACTGTTTTTTGTTTTGTTTTTGTATTGTATATAAAAAGCACTTTATTTTAATTTTTCAAATAAAGATAAAAATCATTTTTTTCAGTTGTTTTATAATGATTGTGAGCTAACATCTGGCAAAATGTATTATTACCTTCTTTTTTTTCTAAATCCAAAGCTAATAATTTATTTTAACTGCTATTGCACATTTTGTCTAAATTCAATTTTCATTCAACAAATACTTTGAATTTTTTCACAGTTTGACAATTTTAATGCACAGAAAATAATATTAAATGTTAAGGAACAATTAAATGGCAAATTCATATCTAATAGAAATGACAAAGAACCTCATAAAATCCTTTGACAAATATGAAATAATAATAATAATACATTTAATTTATACTCCACTTTCCATCAAAACATCTCAAAGTTTTACAGGTAAAAAGAGAGAGAGAAAAAAAAACAAGCAAGAACAATCATCTAAAGGAGACCAAAAGCTTTGCTAAAAATAAATGTTTTAAGGCCTTTTTAAAAACACTCAGTGGATTGAGGTGCCCTCAGGGAGGGCATTCCACAGATGTGGGGCGGCAGCACAAAATGCCCTATCTCCCATTGTCCTGAGCCCGGTTCTGGTCATGCAGAGGAGTTTTGAAAGAGTGGAATGAGTGAAAGCAATTACTAGAAATTAACAATATAATTCATTTAATCACATTATTTTACCTTGAACAGGAGATTAAAAACAGACATTGAATTATTTGTTTGTCCATTTTAAAACTTTGCATCATAAGTTATGAGTTGAATCAATCAAGAATTGTGCAGTCATTTGAATTTTAAAGAAGTATTTTGCATTCGGGGGTTTTTGGTTATATTAGGGCCCACTTAAATGAAGTACTGGGACGCTTAACCTTAATTTTGTTTTTGCTCAGGAGGCTATTATTTTAAGTTGATATTTGCTGTTATCTATCCTCAAAATACATTTGTGGTTATTGATATAAAGATTTGGTTTATTTCATAATGTTTGAAAAATATTTTAATTAAACAGCAGACCCACTTAACTACAACATTTAGGAAACTAAAGCTTTTCAAAACTAACTCCAAAATATTCAAATAATTTTCATAATTAAGAAATCAATAAAGATAGTGATTTTCTTTGAATTTAAACTTTTAAAATTTAAGTTTTATTTTCTTTCTGAACTTTAAATATGTAACATACATACATATATTCATACATTCAGAGGTAACAAAAGTAACAAAATACAAATACTTTGTTACTGTACTTAAGTACACTTTTTAGGTATCTATACTTTACTCAATTGCTTATTTTTCTTCTGACTTCTACTCATTACATTTTCACACAAGTATCTATACTTTCTATTCTTTACATTTTTAAAACAAATATTACTCGTTACTCTTGGCTTTGGTTTAATGTTTATAAATATTTATTTCACGTCATGTGCGCCATCCAATGCAGATCATTGGCGCCATTCACATCTAGTGAAAACTAGTGTAATTGGATGAGTCAAACTGCAAACGTGAATTGTCTATGCCATGCTACAATGTCGGATTCAGAAAAAGATGTTGAAATGTCTGAAAGGTTAGACATACAGTAGGCGAGAGCATATCGGGAGATGGAGACGGGATGGAGATGGAGACCAACAAGACCTCCCTCATCCTTGGCCCTATCTCAAATTTTTTTTCGAAATAGTTTTTTTTTTAAGGTTACTTTATACTTATATAGTTTAAGTAATTTTTGGAGCACATACTTTTTCACTGTTAGTTGAGCAAAGAGGTTAAGTTGATACTTCAAGTTGTCCCAGAGTTTTTTTAAACTGCAGAATCCATACTTGATTAACAAATGTGTGTACTTTTGACACCACTACATACATACATACATACATACATACATACATACATACATACATACATACATACATACAGACAGACAGACAGACAGACAGACAGACAGACAGACAGACAGACATACATACATACATACATACATACAGGTATGTATGTAAAGGATAAATCATAAAAGGATGTTTCTAAAGAAGCCGGTTGTTCACAGAGGGCTGCATTTAAGCATAATTTATAGAGAAGTGAGCAGAAGGCAAANCCCTCATCCTTGGCCCTATCTCAAATTTTTTTTCGAAATAGTTTTTTTTTAAGGTTACTTTATACTTATATAGTTTAAGTAATTTTAGGAGCACATACTTTTTCACTGTAAGTTGAGCAAAGAGGTTAAGTTGATACTTCAAGTTGTCCCAGAGTTTTTTTAAGCTGCAGAATCCATTCTAATTAATTAACAAATGTGTGTACTTTTGACACCACTACATACATACATACATACATACATACATACATACATACATACATACATACACACACACACACACACACACACACACACACACACACACACACACATTTATATAAAGTTACTGGACTACCTCAATATTGTGTTTTTACTTGGATCAGACCTACCTTAACTCTTGTATTTCCAAAAGATTTATCCTGTTTTACATAATGTTTGAGACCAAGGAAAGCTGAATTGACAGATATCCACACAGTCGTGGTCACTCTTTAGAAGAAGGATAAATCATAAAAGGATGTTTCTAAAGAAGCCGGTTGTTCACAGAGGGCTGCATCCAAGCATAATTTATAGAGAAGTGAGCAGAAGGCAAATGTGTTCCGGGAAAAAAAGTCTAACAGTACCAGAGATAACTATAACCACAGGGTTGTTAGCAAAACACATTCAAGACTTTGGAAGAGCTTAACAAATGGGTAAATAAGGCTGCAGTCAGAGCTTTAAGAGTCTCTAATATCTTCTTCACAGGTGAAAATAAAGTTTGTATTTACTTAAGAAAGCAAGTTTGCAATGTCTGGACAGTAAAAGCTGGATGCACCAAATTAATGTGTGAAGTTTTCACAGTTAGGGATTATTTCGGGTAACACTTAACTGGCCTTATGGGGTATTGTTGAATAGATTATATGCAGAAGACCCAACAATGCAGGTGACTTAAAGGCTGCTATCAAAGTAACCTGGGCTTTCATTACACCCCAACTTTTCAGCTTCTAACACATAAAATGGTACCAGAGCTGACTCATGACTCAAACTATTGGTTGAATATACACACATTTTTTAAAATTCCATTAATCATGAATATAATAATAATCGAAACAGCATCAACAGCCAAAGTAGTTAGTTTTGTCCATTTTAAGTGATGCTTTTACAGGCAGATTGCCACCATGCAACACCATTTCAAAAAGCCATGCTAAATTCCCAATCAAGTAGCCTGGATGCCATTTTCTGTAAGACAAAATAAATAAATAAAAAAAGAATGACAATAAAGATTTGAAATAGTATACCAATATTGTAAACCTTTGAAATATATGATTTTGATCTTCTAAAAAAGTGACTAAAATGTTTAACATTTTATTAAATTATTTTTTTTCTTTTATAGGCTACTTTCAGCCTATTTAAACTTTTTCAGGATGGAACAATTTCCTCATAATTTCAAAATGTTGTCATACAAAGCATGGGCGGTTCTATACAGGGGCCAGTGCCCCTGTAGAAAATGTCCTGGCCCCTCTTATGGCCCCTGTGCTGAAGACATACTACTAAAAGAAATCCTAATGATGATATGCACTGGAACAGACATGGTTACTTATAGGTCCTTTGGATCTATTTTCTTTTCTTATTAAAAAAAAAAAAAAACTAAAAATAAGGCAATAGCGTCAGTGGAATTGAGATAGGATCCAAGTTTTCATCTGCTAAATGTTTTTTCAAAACAAATACTCTAATTTTGACTGCCAAATGTATCAGTTTTTCTTGAGTTCTAATTCAGATTTTATAGAAAACTTTAATTTTAACTTAAATTAAGTCAAAAAAATTAAAAATTAAATTCCTAAATGATGAATGTATATTGACATAATAAGACATACATTGTAATTAAACCTAATTTAATGAAAATTTCACTTCCTGCAGCCCCCTAATATATTTGAATCCCTTGCCCTGTTTTTTTTTTTTTTATTATTTCATGCTTTTCTGTGCCCCCATGAAAACAAGCGGGCCCCCTCCTGGCCCCGTGGCACATTTGATCTAGAACCGCCACTGAAACAAAGGTATCTTCGTTTTTGAGCTGCTCTATGTTTACACAATGGTGACGCAATATTTGCTAAAAAAAAGTTAAATGTATGATCTGTCAGTGATAAAACCTCCCTATGCGCCACACACCAGAGTAAATACACGTAAGCGTCACCTCCTATCTCTTCTGGATCTACTGCACATAACTCCGCTCCTCTCGCCGCCGTGCGTAAAAGGAGGCACCTTGGTCCATTGATTCGCCTCCCACCGGCGACACCTGGACCAATCCGTTTCTCCTTAAAGGAACAAAGCTTTTATTTTTCCGCAGATGCCTATGATGAAGTGTAACCACCCTGAGCTGAGTAACCCTATCAAACATTTCCATTCGCTAAAAATTTGAATGCGTTTTTATCAGAAACTATGTACCGACTCAGCCTTAGGCGGCTGTTTTCCGCTTGCGATGTGAATAAGTCCGGAAGGATCGAGTATGAGGACTTCACAGCTGTGTGCAGGGAGCTCGGCGTCCCAGAGACGGAGGTTCAAACTCTGTTCATGAAGTTCGGAGCAGATGAGGACGGATACATCGACTACTGTCGGTTTTCTTCAAGGTTTCAGGAAGTTTCTGAGACTCTCAATCTCGCGTCATTTGGCGCTGGAGCAACCCAAACTCCGTGGGAAGAGTTTGTGGACAGGATAGATGAGGAGTTTGTCCTCCCTGAAAGGTAAACACATTAAACGCCTTCAGGATCCACTGCTGTAACCCTGTTTTGCAGTTTTTTGTTTACTTTTTAATGTTTTTAATTATGATACAACTTTAAAATATAACGTTTTTTTTGTGTTTTACGCGAGAGACAAAGCCGTGCGTAACAATGACGTGAAAGGGAAGTGATGCTTGGTTCTCATATATGCATATTTTCCTAATTTGAGAAGGGTGCCATAGATTTGCATAATGTGAGAAAATGCCAAACCTAAATTAGATTTTAATTGGAGACACTG